AATCTACTGTTTGATCAGTATTATAATATGGAACCAAATATGGGAAGATACATGGTAAAAACCCAAAACAGATTTTTCTACCATGCATAAACCCTTGTAAGTTTGCTGGTGCCTTTGCACCCCATTCTGTGATGTTAATGAAAATGGTTAATGGAGATTTTCCACAACATTTTCATGACTGTTGCATATGAAGTGTGTGTAATCCTACTCTCTGCCAATGAAGACATGGTTTGTGAGTTTAATCATTTATAAAAAGGTCTGTGAACACAAGTTCACATTATGTAGCACAGCAAGCACCAAGTGAACAAAGAGCATACGAAACAGAGTAGAAACCATAGTACCAATGTAGTCAATGCTTAGCAAGAACCCCAGCTGTACAGCCAAAAGTGTATTTTGGGTGTAACAATCACATGACTAAACACAACACACACTAGCAAGAGATCCCACTGTCCCAGAAAAATATGTAGAAATAAGGGCAGGTAGCCATCAGGTGCATCTCTGAGACCTACAAAATTGTTTCTCTTGCAATCCAACCTAACTCACATAGAAGTGCTTATGCTATAAACTGGAATTTCCATACAATTGGTGACACATAATCCTGGCTGGGGACAAAACTTACTGAAACGTACGCCCTGAACACTCCTTATAGGGAGTCATGTGGGGAATGACACCTAGTGTCCTTTCCACTGAAGGGAGGTAATGTAATGCAGAACGGAAAAAATACACCAGAATAAAAAGGTTGAATTCAATTTTAATGTGAATGGGGGAAAACAGAATAAAAAGAAGGTTGGATTCGATTTCCATGCAGATTTGCTTGGAGGACACAGCAGTAAACACGGATTAAAAGGAGAGTGCGGAAAGGGCCTATGAGTGGGATCTAAATCAAATTCACTACATTTGGAATCAGCAGATATGCTAGCAATGGATAAAGCAGGAAGCACAAAGTTCATCCAGTGTGTCAATGGAATGACTGACTTTTGGCTTCAGGATGATTCACACAACCATCGGGCTGAAAAATGGCTACCTTAAACTGCTGTGTACAATGGTTGCCTTCTCACAGTAAACTCCTTGTATGAGGCTCCCCTCCCCCACAAAGGATCATAGTTTAAGCACACTACTTTCCATCACAACTCAAATATCATAGTGTTTGTGGTAGTGTGCAAAGGGCCTTGTTGTACAAGCTGGCTAACCATATGCAGGAACAGTATGCATGCTCCAATTCACAGCACATTTTATTTTTCAGATAACCAAGGGTTTGATGAAACAGCCACAACTCAACTACTTAGACATGAAAACACTGCAAAGTGACCTTTTTCAGGTTATCAGAGATCATACACTGTTTTCCACATATGACGGACCCCTTCCACTTCCCTCCTTCACAGGTAAATTTTCCTTGTTTTTCTGGCCCTTCACTGACTGAGCAGCCCTAATGACATGTTTTGTTCTTCCCTGAAAAAACTTTGGCTGTCCTACCCTGTCAGTAAGTTATATTTTGGCTATTTGCTCAGCCCAGGAACCTGAGGGAAGGGACAGAATCACCCTTTAACTTAAACCCTTGAAAATGGTACTTGAAAGGTTTGATTTAACATCAAGGGGAAAGGTCAGGCGAAATCACGGGTTTACTGGTGAAATACTGGTGAAAAGGTCAGGTGACATTCCTGAGATAAAACTAGTACAAGCACAGAATTTTATTCTTATATATTAGGCTAATGAGAGCTTCTTAAATTATTCACAATTACTTAGATCTTTATATTGAGAGGCTTTTGTTCCAGTGTATTCCCAAACACTCTAATTCACTTTATTTGAGTAATCACTGACTCTTTCGGCACCCAGAAGGCTGATACTCTCTTCCTAGTACCCAAACCCCTTCTCTTGGAACACCAGTTCTTTTCTTGAGTTGTTCACTGACTTTTAAGGTCTCCACAGGCAGTTTCTAATCACACCAAACCAGAGAATTATGTACTCCTCAGAGATAAATTTCCCTGTTTGACTGGGTGGGGAATCTTCTTCTCCCACTTCTCCGTCTGTGTTCAAACTGCTCTCAGCTAATGCTGAATTCAGACTGCATTCAGTCAGGGCTGAACTCTGACCCTATCAGCATTAAACCCTTTTTTGTCAGGGCTGTTTTTTAACTGTCTCAGGCCCCGGTCACATGGCAAAGGTGGGTGGATTATCCGGGCACGATCACACCCCAACATCTGGGAAGTGGAGCGCACCCGTGGCTTACCGCCGACAATGCGCCAGCACATGACATTCCCCTCCGGTCCCTTGTTTATCTGCCGGCGCCAAGGGAAGAACCCGTGGTGTGTCACCGGCGCGTCTGATCGTGTAATCATGGGTCAAACTGCGCCAGGGCAATTAGCCACGCCTCCCCCCCCCGCAATATCCGGCCGCTGTGACCAGGGCCTCAGTACACCTCTCTTCTCAGGTAACACAGGGATCTGACTGAATCTCCTCAGCATCCAGCACTCTCAAGATTTTTTTTCCTGCTCAGTTGATGTTAAGCAATCAGATTGCTTAAAGTAGTAGCCTGTCACTCAGGGCTCTCTGAAGAATTAACCCTTCACAGTCCCTTAGTTGTTGGTTGTTGCTGTTGTTGTTCAGTTGCACAGTCAAGTCCGACTCTTCGTAACCCCATGGACCACATCACACCAGGCCCTCCTGTCTTCCACTGTCCTCCAGAGTTTGCTTAATTTCATGTTGGTTGCATTGATAACACTGTCTAACCGTCTCATCCTTTGCCATCCCCTTCTTCTTTCACCTTCACTTCTAAGCCTTTTAAAAATGCAATCCATCACACCATGGAATACAGATTAAGAGAAAATGATGAATGAGTGAGAGAGATGTCTGAGTTTGCATCCTTCCTGCCACTACATCTGGAATGAATAGCGGTGACAGCAGAAACATAAGAGGCACTTCCTGGAAGGGGTGTGACCAACACAGCCAGCTTTCCTTATCTGAGATCTGCCCTGCCCATTTACTTCAGCTACACTTGTGTGTGTTTGTGTTGTTGTTATCATGCCAACGTCATACTTTAAATGTAGGAATTCACCCTTTCCCTCAGTTTCAAGAAACAGCAAACAGGCTATCTGACTCACACTTTAATCAGACTCACACTTTGTTGTCGTTTCAACCAAACCGGTTTGGGTTTAATTCAGGAGTAAATCCAGTGCAGCAAACATCAGGTACCTGCCTGACATAACATCTTACCTTACAGCCCAAAGTATGACAGAAACATCCTTCCACTCTTTATGCCAGCAGCAACACCCTCCCCAGTTCATAGCCCTCTTCCTGAAGAAAGCAATTCCAGTATCTATAGCCCCTTTCCCAACTTAGATATACATACCCCTCAATAAAATGGGGGGCAGCATTTTGGCATCCTGGTTAAAGTTGGACTTGGGAGGGCCTGGGTTCAAATCCCCACTCTGCTATGAAGCTTTCAGTCTCAACCAGTCTACCTTGTTGGGCTGTTGTGAGCATCAAATGGAAGGCAGAACCAGGCAGATTGCCCTGAGTGGAGGACAGGCGGGAGAAAAATGTTTGCCAATAATATTCCTCTCTTGGTGTCCATTTCTCAGGCTCTGTGGCCATGCTCCCTTCCCAGACACTCAGTATACAACCCTCATGGATCAGTTGGAGGAGGGACCCCACAATTCAGCCCATAACCCATACATATCCCAGTTCTGTTCCCACAGAAGCCACTTTTCCTACCCAGCCTTCCCATCCAGCTGCCTTAGGGCAGCCATTGCAGGCTTTCCTTCATGTGAACTGATCCACCCCCTCCCCCCCCAAGAATATCCAGGCCACCAATTCCCATATTAAGAGTCCCGGTTTCTTCCTAGCCTGTTTTCTGAAGATCCACCACCCCGCCCGCAGCAGGATTCAGATGTTTTTAACTGCTGCAACAATTAAACAAGTCCTGGGGCTGCATCTTTTCATGGGGGTGAAAGAGGAGATCTCAACCTGGTAAACGTCACCTACCACGCAACTGTAAAAAGCACAGGATCCCTGCTGGGGTGGGGGACTAGTCCTGCATTCCCTTCCAAAATCCTTCAGCCAGCCTTTCTGTTCCCCTCCCACATTATTGTGGCTTGCATGCAGGCGACCATGGAGACAACCAACCAGTGTTACCTCTAATCTGAGTGATTGTGAGCTAGCTCACAGCTTTTTAGCCTCTGGCTCCCACATTTTTGTCTCAGCTCAGGAAGGATGGCTCCAGAGCAGACTGATTTATGCAGCAGCCAAATCGCTCGCTCAAAGCTTTAATGCCAGTCGCTCACAAAGTAGAATTGTTGCTCACAAGACTCCACAGCTTAGAGGGAGCATTACAACCAGCGCCGTTCATTTCCCCCCCATACCCCCCCCCCATCCTCCGCTTCTAGATCTAGCCAAGATAGAGAAGCCCGGCTTTTCTGAATGTTGCTCCTTCTGCCGGGGTAACAGACAGAAACCCCCGGGCGAGCTCTGATAGCCATGGAAGTGCGAGACCAGAATCTGGGGCTGCTCTCCGACCCGGGAAAGAGAAGGCTGACAGTTCGTACGCGCCCATAGGCAGCGCTGAATCGCCTCACACCACCCCAAACGCAAATCCTGCTACTCGAAAGTCTTCCGCTCGGGGTCCCTGGGAGATTTCGTGGCGCCTCCGCAAAAGTCCTCGGAAGTCAGTCCCGTTGAAACGGGGACGGGAACGATCGGAGCGCGTCGTGCCCAGTCGCTCGCCCACCCGAACCACTTCTTGCGCCTGTGATCAGCCACCGGCGGCACTGCTGCCTCCTTCTCCCCAGGAGTCGTGCCTCTCCGCCGTTGGCGCGGCGCGCTCCACCCCACTCCCTTCTCCCCTAGAGGGCGCGTTGCGGCCGGCCGAAGCCGACTCTCGGGCCGCGTTTTCCATAAAAGGGCAAGGGGAGGATCGCTCGCCGGCGCTCCTTGAGCAGCGGATTGGGAGACGGCGGCGCATATAAATATAGGCAGGGCGGAGTGAAACAAAGCAGTCTGCCAGGAATCTCGCCGGCTGGGAAGGAGGGCGCTTAACGCAACTTGGTGGGAGAAAGGAACGGAGCTCTCGAGCGCGATCGCTCGCTCACTCGCTCGCTCTCCCGCTGGGTAGCGGCTTCTGTCACATTTCTTGGGCTTTCTTGATCTCCTCCGTGGCCAAGGCATTGTTGGGTTTTACCGGAGAGGAAGGAAAAGACTAAGGGCACCTCAATGAAGGAAAGAAGAGCGAGCCAGAAATTATCCAGCAAATCGATCATGGATCCTAATCAGAACGTAAAGTGCAAAATAGTCGTCGTGGGGGACACCCAGTGTGGGAAAACGGCTTTGCTTCATGTCTTCGCCAAAGACTGCTTCCCCGAGGTAAGTCTTGGACTCGCTGGGGTTGAAGCATTGGGGGGAGGGGGGGGAGGATGTGATTTAACTTTCACCACAATCCCTAAACTAATTTTAAAGCGGCTTTTAGAAGAGTGCCATGGACGGGGCACCCCCCCCCCCCCCCGGTGTGTTCACACGAAACACTCTAAAAAGCACATTTGAGTTTTTCTTGTGCCGCATGAGCCACGCGTGGATGCTTTTAATGCGGGACAGAACGCAAAAGAGACAAGGACTTTGTAGTTCGTAATCGTATTATACACCACACTTAAGAAAAAGGTCCGATTGACGTCTTAGAAAGCCCTTTTGAAGAGTTAAATCGAACTTTGAAATTAACAAACTTCTTTTGTTATAAGGCAAGTTTTTTAAACTCTAAAGTATTTTACTTCACTTATGTAACTGTTTTGAGTCCAAGTCTGTGAAAAATGCGCCAAGAACACGTCTGTGTATCGTATGCATATATGTGAATGTTGTAAATACGGGTCAGAAGGCAGAAAAGCCCCAGTTTTAAGTGGGATGTGTATCTGTAATGAAAGGCATTGTGGTTGAGTTTTGAGGAACTGGTTTTTTTAAAACAATCACTTATGGAAACTCAGTTGGAAAATAAATTATTTAAATGTCTGGAGAGGTGAATGGAAAGACTGGGGGGGATATATCTGCTTGCCCCCTCCCCTTTAGTTAACTCTTCACCCTCCTTTCTCAAATTCATGTGTGATGTGGTCCATAACACTATGCTTCTCTTCCCCTTTTTTTGTTATCTAGAACTATGTCCCCACTGTGTTTGAAAATTACACTGCCAGTTTTGAAATTGACACACAAAGGATAGAACTCAGCCTCTGGGACACTTCTGGTAAGGGACTTGTGGCGTAGCAGGAATTGTTCTGGTGACTCATATCGATTTGCACGTAATTATGAGCTGTTGCTAAAACCTCTATTGTTAACACCCTCTGGATGAATAGCTATTTGCCTTCTGTGAGTTTTTGTGAACTTTTGTGGACTCCCAGTATTTTTTTTAAAGCACAACTATTTCTACAATGTGATTGTCTCACTTATGCTACCCGCCTTCTACGTCCCCTTCCTTTCTAAAGGTTCTTGCGCTAATCAGCTGAACAGATGGGAGAGGCTTATTATGGCCTGTCGTGAGCCGTTCATTTTAATATTTGTCACTGCTGCTGCGAAACCCAGCATGTGTTCTCCTTTGATTATGGGATGATTATGCAGAAACAAGAGGATGAGTAGCTAAACAAATATCTGAGTATGTTAGGCTCTTTCTTTCTTGCTGTTTTTGGGGTGTCCACCATTAAGAGTCTAATTCTCTGTTTTCCAAAGAGCCAAAACCCATTCATAAAAGAAGGGCTAGATGGAAAGTAGTGGGTAGGATTTGGCTGTGGAGCCAGCAGGGGGTGGGAAAGCTTTCCAAACAGACCATAACAAGAAGGGGGGAAAGGACGGAAGGTGCAACTAGAGATCTTCCCCTTTTGTTGTGTTGCCTCCTGCCCAGTCTTCTCCAATACGTCTCTGTCCTGAATCCTTCTCAGTTGGCTGCCGGTTCCATATCCTTCCTTCAGAGCATCCTTATGTTGCTTCTTCCAGCAGGGGGTTCTGTGATTATTTTTTTTACTGTTCAGCTCCTTTTGGAAATCGTGTGTTGTAGCAGCAGCAATAAGATGGAAGAAGTCAAAGAGGGGGACACCTTTGTCTAGGCAAAAGAGAAGACTCACAGTTAAAAAAAATGACTGTCCCTGCCTTTACGGAGGACTTGAAACTTGTGTAACATCACGAGCCACTTTTATCTTCATGTTGTGGCTCAAAGGCCAGTAATTGTCTCCACCATGAAGTTAATGACATGAGCTAGCAAGAGACCATGTGACAAAGCAAACCACTACATACCATTATGTATATTTTATAGGTAATACAAAGGGGAGCCAATGTTAAGATGGGATCTGTTGCTTAGAACAGGGTTTGTTTGTTTTGGTAGGGGCATCAGAGGCCTAATAAAA